ACTCCAAGATGAACATGGGCCACCAATTTGGGGATGCAGTCAGGAAGGCTAACCGCACCTTGTCATGCATCCACAGGTCCAAGGAGATGATCCTCCTCCTCTATATGACATTGGTCAGGCCGCAGTTGGAATACTACATCCAGTTCTGGGTGCTGCACTTCAGGAGGGATGTGGACAACATTGAGAGGGTCCAGAGGAGGGCCACTCGCATGATCATGGGGCAGCAGGGCAGGTTGTATGAGCAGAGGCTATGAGACCTGAACCTGTTCAGCCTCTACAAGAGAAGGCTGAGAAGGGATCTGGTGGCCATCTATAAACTGGCCAAGGGAGACCAGCAGGCAATGGAAGAGAAGTCCCTGTTCTCCTGAGCACTACTGGGAGTAACAAGGAATAACGGCCATAAGTTGACGGAGCGTAGATTCAGGCTAGATATCAGGAGGCACTACTTCACAGTCAGGGCGGCTAGGATCTGGAACCAACTTCCAAGGGAAGTGGTGCTTGCTCTTAATCTGGGGGTCTTTAAAAGGAGGCTAGATGAACACCTTGCCGTGGTCGTTTGACCCCATCATTCTTGCCTGCCCACGGTAGGGGGTTGGACTTGATGATCTGCTCAGGTCCCTTCCGACCCTCCTACCAACTATGAAACACTTGGAAGGGAAGAAGATGATTAGGAACAGTCAGCATGGATTCACCAAGGGTAGGTCATTCCTGTTCAATATCTTCATCAATGAACTGGAAGATCGGATGAAGTGCACCCTCAGCAAGTTTGCAGATGACACCACGAGGGGGAAGTAGTAGATACACTGGAGGGTGGTGCTAGGATTCAGAAAGACCTCCATAAATTGGAGGATTGGGCCAAAAGAAATCTTATGATGTTCAATAAGTACATGTGCAAAGTCTTGCGCTTAGGAAGGAACAATTTCAGGTACTGGTACAGGCTACAGACCGACTGACTAAGCAGAAGCTGTGCAGAAAAGGACATGGGGGTTATAGTGAGCAACCTGAATATGAGCTAAGGGTGTGCCCTTGTTGTGAAGATGCCTAACGGCGTACTGGGCTGCATTAGTAGGAACACTGTTAGCAGACTGAGGGGAAGTGATTCTTCCCCTCTTATTCGGCACTGGTGAGGCAACAAGTGGAGTACTGCACCCATTTTTGTGGACCTCACTACAAAAAAGATGTGGACAAATGAAAGAGAGCCCAGTGGAGGACAACGAAAATGGTTAGGGGGCTGGGGCACATGGATTTATGAGGAAAGACTAAAGGACCTGGTCTTACTTAGTCTGGAGAAGAGAAAACTAAGAGGGGATTTAATAGCAGCCTTCAACTACCTGAAGGGTGATTGGAAAGTGGACCGAGCTAGACTGTTCTCAGTGGTGGCAGATGACAGAACAAGGAGCAATGGTCTCAAGTTGTAGCAAGGGAAGTTTAGGCTAGATATTAGGAAAGACTTTGTCGTGAGAAGGGTAGTAAAATACTGGAATAGGATACCCAGAGAGGTTGTGGAATCTCCATTGTTGGAGGTTTTAAAGTCCAGGCTAGACAACGCCTTGGCTGGAAGAATATAGTTGGGGATAGTCCTGCTTAGACCAGGGGGCTGAAAAGGAGCTCTTGGGATCCCTTCCAATCCCAAGCTTTCTATGATTCTATGACTCTATGGCACTAGAAGAACAACATACATTTTGCTGTTAGTTTATCATTGTCTAAATTTAATGATTTAGATATGAGGAGTGTGGGAAAGGTAAAAAAACCTGGTGGACACCAAAATGAGCAATAAGGCTTGACTGCAGTGGTTCTGTTTTAAGAGTTTATATCAACTGAACAATAGGCTTTCTGGGTAGCATGGGGAACAGATCCCACTAAAATGCTGCATGTTAATGAGTCTCTCTCAACCTACCTACATACAGCTGCTGATATCAGGGTGATGTAAAAATGAAGGCTGTTTACATTTAAACAAAACCAGTTACTGGAGATTTTCTCTTTGAATTTATAAAGCTTCAGTTTGGTTTTATACTCCTTACTCCATCAATATTCTTGCCAACTTGAATGGTAGTTGTGTTAGAGACTGCATGACATCTGATCACTGATATCAGCAAATGGAGCTTTATATTTTAATAGTCAAGTTTATTATTAGCTCTTCTAGACCACTATTATGAACTATCCTCTCTATGTATGTAACTATAAACATTATTAGTGTCACCCTATGGGATATTTTTAAAATACATTTCCCAGCAAGTATTTTTGACACATCAAAATCAATTCAAGGACAAACCTTAAAAGCCATTGTGAATAAAGATAAAGTCTCCAGAATCGTAAGGCAAACTTCAGTGGCAATATTGGCTTCAAGTAAAGATTGGTGAAGGACATCTGCATCTGAATGGCCATAGCCTGTAGAAATTTAAAATAAAGTGTTACTTTATAAAGGTTTGATATGTAACAACTTTTTTAATGCTGAGAAATCAAAAATTTCAGAGACATTCTTCAGCAGGAGAAGCTTAAGGAGAAGTAAGGACTTGGAAAGAGGTTACATTAGAAATAAAGAGTAATATTTACATTTGATACATATTTATACACAAAATGTTGGCATGGTATTGAAATATATAAAAATACTAAAGTGCAAAAAAAGTGTTCAAACAGCATTAAAGAATTAAAATATTGGGTTTAGATGCTTGACAATATAATAAAAAAAAATCTCTTTTGCATATAATACATAAAAATATATACTCCAAATAAACAGTCTATTAAGATAGAGTTACAGACGTTTAGGATAAATTTACGATTGTTATAATTGTTGAAAGACAAGTATTAAAAAAAATGTAGAAAATTCAGAGTTAAAGTTAAATTTTAAAAAAAATCCAAAAAATGTATTAAAATTGCTGCTCGACACCCAAACAACCCCAATTTTGCCCTGTATCGATCCCAGAGATTAACCACATGCTTGAACAGATTATTTTACTTTTTGTTGGCCCAGATGAGTAACATCCCTGGTGTTACTGTACTGAACTAAGATTTGTGAATCTGTCACTGAAAGTCAGAGAGTTCCAAATACGGTCTAGCAGCTTTAAGCCCACCAGCAGCTACACAATGCTGTCACAGCATAACAGATTAAGCTAGGTTTATCATCATTTTGCATCAACAAAGCAATGGAAAGGAGACTATACCATGGGCAGGCAAAGTCCAGCCCATGGACTGGATCTGGCCGGCAATGGACTCCATTTCCCAGCAGCCTCTGCCCACATGGCTAGGGCTGGTCTCCATGGATACCCCTGCCCCAGCTAGGCTGTGATAGTGCAAGGCTGCTGTTGCCATGGAGACCAGCCCCAGCCATGCTGGCAGGGTGCACAGCAGAGCAGGGCAGGGGGCTGCTCCAGAGCCGTGGGAACTTGCGGCACAGACAGCTTGGTCCGGGGCAGGGGCAGAGCTGTGATCTTCAGCCTGCATCCTTGGGGCAGCGGTGCGCAGGCAGCGGATTGCGGCTCTGCCCTGGCTTCTCGCAGCAGTGGCAGCGTGATCCCAAGACAGGACAGAGCCGTGATCCACTGCCTGTGCACCCCTGCCCAGAATGTGCAGGCTCTGCCCTGGCCTTGACCAAGCTGCCCATGCCACAAGATCCCAGGGGCTCTGGAGCACCCTGCCTTGCTCTGCCAGTGCAATTAGGGCCTGTCTCCATGGCCACCCCAGCCTTGCTATCACAGTGCAGCTGTAGCTGGGGTTCCATGGAGACTGGCCCCAGCCATGCAGGCAGGGGTTGCTGGGAAATGGAGTCCAGCTGCCAGTCAGATCTGCCTTTTTGCCCGCCCCTGAACTATTCCCTCTATGTCAGGGGTGTCCAACCTTTTTCAACGTGGGGTTGGATCATGAACATTTTATCACCCAGTGGGCTGGCAGGAGCGAGCGCTTGTGTGGCCTGTCCACTCCAGCCACAGCCTTGGGGCACAGGGGTGCTACCTGACTCGGCCGTGTCCTCCCTACCACCTAGGCAGCCTCGAGGATGCTCCCACACCTGCGCACCTGGGCTCAGCAGCCAGGAGGACATGTGGGGACTCTACAGGGGGCCGCGGGATGTGCAGGGACACCCCCCTGCTCCCTCTCCCCCAAGGCAGCCTGAGCCCAAGCCCAAGCGGCAGGGGTCCCCTCCCTCCCCGGAGCCTGTGACTCACCACCCCCAGCGCAATGTCTGCAGGCATGGGGGGATGTGGAGGTGGGAGTGGCGCCGGCTTCCTGCCCCAACAGCCACAGCAGCAGCAACAGCATCTCCCGCAGGCCTGGCCACAGCATCCCTCCGAGCCAGCGTCCACGCCCCCTGAGCTGGCCCGCTGCACTGCAACCTGCTCCAGCCCACGTGGCCAGCAGGGACCAGTGCAGGGTAGGGCCGGCATGCAAATGAGGAAGGGAGGGGCGGGGCTAGGAATGGAAACCCTGCACTGTGGGAGAGGGGAGGAGCTGGCATGCATATGAGAAAGGGAGGGGTGGGGCAAGGAAGGGACACCATGAAATGAAGGCGGGGAGGGAAGGAGCTGCACTGCATCGGCAACGTCAAGCTGACACGGTGCGTGCGAGAACCTCGGCCCTTCGTCAGCCCTTCAGCAGCTATTAGGAAGCTGCTGAGGGGCTGGGGGAGGGAACGAAAGTAAACAACGTCTACTTTAGTTTCCTGTCGCAGCACCACGGGCCACAGAAAATGGCTTGTCAGGCCACATGTTGGACAAGCCTGCTCTATTGTCCTCCACACCCATGCTAACCCCATCACCATTTTCCTTTCCTTTCTGTACTCTAGTTCCCTAAGTACAGAACCTAACTGCCCTCTATTGATATCTAAGGTAATGGGTTTTGTTTTTTTAAAGAAACGTTTAGAATTAAATGGCTATTTTAAGAATTAAAACTAACGTTAAAATTATAATGCATCAACTCAAGACAAGAAAGAAAATGGTATGATGTGATAAATGTTAAACTTTTAGCAACAGATTCACATGTTCTCTTTGGCTCATGCCATTCTGAAGCAACTGAAAGTAGCCAGTTAATCTGAATGAACAGCTACTTTGTATCACCAGAATGTCCAGAGTACATGCCCCACTTTCCTTCTCGTCTTCCACCTCCCATTTATTCTCCTACATGTATATGTATATCCTCTGGTGACATGGAGGGAATAAACTATGTATGGTATAAAGTACTGCATTTGGAAAGAAATATTGAAGACTGATACCCATTTTACCAGTATTTTTCATACTTGAAAGTTTATCCATAAACCTCTGCAGATGGAAAAGAAAATGACAAAGAACTGTCCTTTTTCAAAATGGTCACCACCTCCATTTTTCCCATGGGCGAAAAAGCAATAATTATATTCACCAGTTATATGGTAAGGATGTAAAGGAATAGAGGCATCAGCTATTTTTATTAAGAGCACCTTGTGGTTTCAGAATCATTGTTAAAAATTTAGAGACAGTGGCCACTTTGACAAAAGTCAATTTTTTGCCAGGTCCCTGAAAACAATATCCACCTGCCTCTAATAAACAAACATGTTTTAGTGATGAAGGAAAATAGCAAAAAATGATTATTATGCCTAAATAAAACAACCCCATTGACAAGATTTTAGGGTATTTTCATTATATTAAGGTATAAGAAAGGTTTCCCAAGAACCAAATGTGTGGGGCCTACTGTTAGGCGGGGTTAGAAAGCACAAGATAGTAACAGAACAGTAATAGTAGTTCACTAAGATCTTTCTATAAAATCATGTATTTGGTAGTAATCATTTTCCAGTAAAGGTCTGTTTAATCCTACTTTTGTTTTTCCTTCTCACTATTCCATTTTATCAGAAGTTTAATATATTTAAAAAAAAAAATTAATTGCTTTAATTCTCATATATTGGACTAATAATGGGCTACACTGAAGTGTCTAAGTGGCCCGAGTCATTACTTCATTCATAAAAATATGTTCCAATTAGTAAATGATCGGCAACAGAGAAATTTCTAACCAAGTTCACAAACATCCATCTTGACAATTGAATACAAATGAACTGGAGGAATTCACCCTAAAAGCAGGTAACATCCTTACTGCATATATGTCATATATCCAGCACAAGACATAGAAAAGCTTTTCTAATTATGAACAATAAAGATTACTTTTGTATAATCTTGTCAAGATACAGACAGGATCAATTATAAAACAGAATATGAAAAAGAAATTTCTCATTTTTTCCTCCATTTAATTTTAAATATATATTTTTATTTAAATATTTTTTTTTATAATTTTTTTTTCCAATATAGAAATGGAAGCTAAGAAAAGTTGAAGTCACCTAGATGATATCACCCCATAAAACTTCCATTTCTGTGACTATTCTGCTTACCATGGGAACTAAGACTGATGCTGCTGCCCCAGGAGCAGCAAACAACAGTGCCTGTAGATCACTGGGGTTGGAGGCTTCCCTCCCACCCCTGTGGCAGTGGGGAAGGGAGAGTGGAAAACAGGGCTCTTACAGCACTACAAATGCACATCAGTTGATGGCTTGATCTGCTATGTTTATTTGACCCTATCATGGACAGATCCAGCATTTACTAAAAGGGAGGGTGTGGCATTCCACCCTTCCAACATGGGGTATGACAGCAAGGTGTCACTAGAAACTCCAGGTCGGTAGGGAACACCAGGGAGTCAGTGTATGAACATGGAGGGAAGGGAAAAGAAGGGGAAGAGAGGACCTCTTCCTCTGCCAACATTGCTGTTGCTGTCCCCAGCTGTCTAGGGGCAGGGCGGGGCAGGGCAAAAGAGGGGGCCAAGCTGCTCCTGCCTTGTTTCAGCTGGGTGTTCTGGGAAGCAACCATATGGAAGGCTAGGCTTGGCTGGGGACAGTGGTGGCGACATGCAAGTTCCTCCTACCAGTGCCTGCTGGCAGTGATGCCTGACCTGTATGGCCCATGGGCTGGATTAGCAAAGCCAGGTCTGTCTGTGGGCTGGATCCTATCTGTGGGCCCAAAGCAGCTGTGCAGGATGCAGCCTAATGTATAGGAATGGCCTGCCCAGGGCCCATTCCTGCATGCTAACTGCCACTGTTTCCCCACTGCCAAATTTCCACCTCTGTGGGAAGACCTGCAGGCCAGATGACATGGCTGTGGGCTGATCTGACCCATGGGCCAGGGTGTAAACACCCCTTACATGCGTCATACAAAAAGTACTTAAGAATATCAAGGATGCCCAGGTAAGCTCTCAAAAAGTGACAAATGTTAAGAATTAAGCTGGATGAAGAAACCTAACTCTTCTGCTATGGCACTGTTATCAATTCAGGGATCCTGGTTTTCTATAGAATTTTAAACTAACTAATGATATAGCCTATGCATATTTCATTCAGTAAAAACCTTGCAAAACTCATTTTATAGCTGAGTTTGCTCTTGACATGGAACCTTAGTTCTCCAGCTGTTTTCTTAGTAGATTAGTTTTGATACTTCAATGGTCCTAAACGGGCATAGACTCCTTTTGGAAAGGTGAACTTCTATTTTAACTGTTACTGTTTTATTCCTAACTGTCTTGGTCAAATTATTTTTGTTATATTTGGTCTTCCCTTAACATAGCCAATGCATTGAAAATGATGTAAAGATGGAAGCGTTGAGGTGATGCTGTTGCTGTGATGGTCCAGGAAATGAGAGGGGCAAAAATTCTTGGTAGTGATAACTATTATCGGACTAACTGCATAGTTGGGATGACATGTGCAAGCTTTTGGGTATCACAGGACCCTTCCTCAGGCTCATTTATGATGTTTACAGTGTAAAACCAGTATTTTCAATTTACAGAAAGATCACATGGATAAGGATTGCATAAGTGGATACTTTTTTGCCTTAAATTAATTACAGTTATTTAACATGTATATGACATGACAGCTGTATGAACTATGGAAGGGGTATACACAGAAAATGTATAGTTAAGTTGGCAGGCAGTACTTTGAAAATTCACAATGACAACAGGAGATGGAAAAGCAAGAGCAGCAGAAACAGTGTTGCAGACCAAACCAAGAATCCAGAGCCACCCACCCCATAGAGAAACATGCCTGAGTTGCAACAGAACCCGTCGATCTCGAATTGGCCTCTGTCATGCATCTTCAGACCTACAGATAAGGCAATCATGGAAGACAATCATCCTCGACTGTGAGGGATTGCCAGTGATGATGATGAGTTAAATTGAATAATACTATCATTGTACATTACTACGTCCAGTCTCAACACTGCATGACTAAATAACATGTTTTGTTAGGTTAGATTACCAATGTCTGGTTTTGAAACTGCATGAAATTGAAAAATGAAGTAGAAACAGTAATCTTTCATGGTTTTTAATTTGCAGTTTAAAATCAACGTTTAAAAAACTCAATATATTTAGTTTTCAGTTAAAGCAGTCCTATGCAAGCTGACTACAACCTGATTAAATCTTACCATTGTCTACAGAAATTCCAAGCACACTTGATATTTTTCTCACACTGAAAACACAGAAAAAGTCACTTCATTATTGGGCACTTTTTCACTTCCACATAAACTAAATCATGGACTTTACAATTCCTATAAAAAAATTACAATTTATATTTCTGAGTGATATCAAAACACGGAGACATGATCAACAAAGTGCTAATTACAATATTTATATTATGTTTTTGTAATAGGCCAAAATTAAAGAAAAAAGACAAATAAAATAATTGCATAAAAGATATGGTTCAATAATGAGATACGAATCCTCTCAGAAGAGCAGCAGAAAGCATAAATGCATGCAATTTAAAAGCCAATACAGTAAAAAAAAATGAAGAACTTTAATATATGTTGTAGTTAATCATGTTCCATATCATGTCATCACCCACTATCACTCTACCACAAAGCAGGAACAAAATGCTGAATTAGTTCCATCTAACTAATTGACTAGAACAATAAAGTCCATGAAACGCTCTGGTGTGGCACTGGCTTTTGCCTCTGGTGTGTGGTACTGGATGTGGATGGCAACGGACTGTTATGATGTCATGGAACTTACTGTGGTTAAAAGTGAGAGAGTTATCCAGGCTGCTCAGCTGCTGCAATCTGGCATGCATCATTCCTGTTCTGTTACGGGAAACAGGCAATGTCTGAGATTTTCGATCATGAACTATGGATCCCAACCCCTCCTGGTTCCTGCAAGGTGAGTGAAATGGGATAGAAGCAAAAGTTAGACATGTCAAACTGCAGCAAGATAGGGAGAGTTAGTTAAGCCATTACAGCACCAAAAGTACTAAAAAGCTGAACTATAATGCAGCCTATTTATTGTTTTATGTTGGCTAAAACCAAAATAGGCATCTTAAAAAGCATTATGGCATTTTTTTCTTAAAATACTCATCACATGAAAGCAAAAGCACGCAAACTGCTGCTCCTGAAATATTTACTTTACTTCAAAGCTTTCAGCAATGTTAGGCTTTGATTGTAGCTCATTTAATGATGATGTTCTGGAAACAGAACAAATGAAAAAAGCACTAATTTATTTTGATTATGGTAGGGAAAGATATTAGAAAGATGAGGAACAGTGAAACTAGAAAGCACACATGCAGTAAGAGCAGGAATTAACAGAGGCATTAACACCTGTATCTTACCCAGGCAGGAAGGGAGAAGAGCCATATACTTTGTTAAACTTGTCAGCAATCAAGTGAAGAAAACAGAAAAGTGATGTGTGTTAGCAACCAATACAGGCTAACTCCCTATTGTGTACCACCACCAGAGCTGATGAGAAATGAAAACCAGTGCTGGAATTACATACATCCCTTAATTGAGAGTTTCTATTTTGTGTATTTTATCAGTCCATGCATTTATGATGATACAACATGCTTTGATGTGATATCCACATGGCAGATTTAAATTTGTTTGCAAAACTCAATAAACCCACAGAACACCAGAGACTTGTATAGTTCTACTAGTTAAATATAACATGCAACAGAAAGAAAAATTCAACAAAAATGCAGAGCAGTCTTCTTTATGAAATATTGTAACTCATTTTATCACAAATCAGTTTTATGCATTTTAGTATTTCTATAAATCATATATCTTAATTTTATGGTCAATTATTGCTGAAGCTTCTGAAATACATTAAAGCACAAAGCATCATGAGGTCACAATCTAAACTGAGAAGCTACAGATCCATCAGATCCATTTTGCTACTTCTTTTCTTTTCTTTTTTTTGCAGGGCAAGGGAGCAGGAGAAGGAGAATGGGGAAACAGACAACTTTTTGTAAGTCCCCAAAAATAGATGTATATACATAGGATAGATTAATAATTAATGTTTAAATTAGGATGAAAGTTTACTACACTGTTCTCTTTGTTGTAAGAAAAGATATTACGTTCTTCTGAAAAAAATCATTTAAAATCATTATGATTTAAGTCTTTGTTAGCCACTCTAGTAGTGGGGTCATCACCCACTGGTATAGGAAATAAAAATGTTAATTCAGTGGCCCTATTGAAATGTTGATCTTGAAACAATGGGATTTTCACTCAAGTTTAAATTATATTACAGTGTTCTTATAATATGTGTTGGGAACAATATGAAAGGCATGTTTACTTAATTAGAAAAAATGGTAACTCCATATAAACAGGTTTAGAAACAGGTTTATGGAAATATACTGTAGATTACGGGCCAAATTCAGACCTCAGATAGATGCATGCAACTCCTATTGATTTTCCACAGATTAAGTGTGCTTAAAGGGAGCAGCCAAATGCATCTGATTAAGCCTATATGCATCTGATTAACAAACTTAGCATACTTTTTTGAAAAATATACACCTAGGAACTTTTTTTTTTTTTTTAAAGCTTGTTAAATGGCAACTGAAACTCAGTCTTTAAAATGCACAATACTAAAATTCAATTTGGTAAAAGTACTAAGTAGTAGCGCATACAAGAAGGTTCAACTAATACAATGTCAAGGCTTAAATTATTATTCAAAATAGATTAAATCACCAGCACACTTGCTATACTGGGACACTTTTAAGAAAAATCTATCTGCATTAAAATACAGCTCCTCAAAAATAAAAAATCTATATATATAAATATATACACACCAAAACGTTTACATTTCTAGCATTCTTAAACAGTAACACTATTGTCATATAGCATCCAGAATAAGACTGTCAATTGTATAGCTAATTACTTACCTTCAAATTGCTAGGCATCCCTGCACAATTCTTCCCAATTCTGCACAATTGTTATACAATGCATTTTTCATAAAACATAAGTTCGTAAACTATACATACTAGATCTCTTTAGAGGATAAGACCATTAACTCTAAATTATACACAGTACCTGGCTATATATCGTTTCCCCATGTACTGGAACTGATGCAAGCACACTCTGCAAAGATCAAATAAGGAATCACTGCAGCAACATTTAAAAGGACTTTTTACACAAGCACACAGGAATTGTTTAACCACTACTGGTCTGTTTTCTAAACCCTTACCCCACAGCTCTTTCTGGATGAGCCTTCATTTTAATGGTTTTGACTCATAAGATATTCCTATTATTGTAGCCCTACCCTTCAGCTAAGTAGAAGTGGATGTGGGGATGTGGCTCCTGAAATTAGTCAGCGCTGGTTCCTGATCTGGCCAAACTGGCACAACAGGCTCTTTGGCCAAAGGTAAATATGCTTCAGTAGCATGTCTATTTCTTGTTACCACAAATCAAAGTAGGGAGATCCAGATCTCACTTTTTTGCTAGGGACAAAAGTTACACATAAACAGATTTAAGACATCAGAAAGTGGTTTAAACCTGTAACAGAATGTAAGTTCAGGGCACATAAACTAGTTTCAAAATGGCTGAAACTGGTTTAAGATAAACCTGGTTGCATGTATTATCAAGCTTAACTGATTTGGGTCAAACCAGTTTATGAAACTTCTGTCCCAGACCCTTTCCCTTCCTGGTTCAAGGTGTCAGTCGGTCAGCATCCCAGCATGCTTTCCAGCTGTCTGCTCCATCAGAGAAGGGTGGGGGGAGGCAGGGACTACCCCACCCATGCCAGGCAAACCCTGGCTGGGGTCTGGGGCCAGGGGAGGGGGGTGGGTTCAACACCCCTCCCCCAGCTTAAATTTACAGCTGGTTGCAACTGCGGACTACAAATCCCAGAGGCACCTGGAAGCAGCCCTACCTGTGCCTGGAAGCAGGAAGAAGTGATGAGCAATCCCAGTGTGATTCTGGACTGCAAGTCCCAGAGACCTCGGGGGCCACAAGAAGCAGCAGCAAACACACAGCTCATGCTGCCAGGGAGCCGTGCTCTAGCATCCCCAGGCTTTTGGCCTGAGCCACTGCAGGCATGTGGCTGCATTTCCTGAATCAAAAGTTAATGTGTGTCTAGTTGTTTTTCAGTTTAATCTGAATCGATTAGACAGAATCAATTCAGCCTCAGGCTTTTTGACTTCTGTAGTCAGCCTTTGAGAAGAGGTAAGAAAAACAAAAAACAAAGGGACAAGAAAATTAAGTACACACTATTCTTAAATAATTATTGAATGCTTCTACAACATCAGTGCCTGGCTTATCATGAATAGGGCTCCATTGTTTTCAGTGAAGTCCATACACGTGCAAAACCTGGTCCCTTGACTAATAAGGTCACAGTCCAAGAAAAGGACATGCAAAGAAAGCACAAAATGAAAGATACAAACAGATCATTCAAATACCTAACGTCTATCACCAATCCCATTCTCTGCAACGTTTTCATGATTATTTTTCTCATTTCTGCAAGACTCGTATTTACTATAACATTAATAAGAGGTGTTGTGGCAGAACTTTTTCCTTAAAAGTGAGTATCTTCTCAAGTTTTATTAGAGGCAGTGATAACCATACATCTTAAAATACTTGGAAATCTGGTTTAAGATGCACGTTATATGTCCACAGGTTTTTTAAAAAAAATACTATTACTTGTTTTGGATTCAATAGAGAAATATTGTGAAAAGATTTGCTTTACATACACTTTGCTTTCGTCTGAAACAATTACTGAAATATAAACGTGATTTGAAAATTAATTTTTCAAAATCAGACCTCTTTCAGTGTAAAAAAAAGTCTTAAGTGAAGACTTGTATTGACAATCCTTTTATAGTTTTCATTTTCACTAATCTACAAGACACTTAAAAAAGAAGCTCCCCCCAAACTATTCTAACTTACTCATTAGAAAAGATTAAGTCTACACTGAAAGCTATTTTTCAGGGCTACTGAGTACTGTAGCAGACAAAGGATACTTCTATCAAATCTGGAAACAAAACTATGAGAGAAACCAGTCAGACTCCTGGTAGCAGGGGTGGTTGCAGAACTAGCTATTCAGACAATCCTTTAAAGTTTTGACAGGAATTTTTCTACTCTATATTAAGAGCTCTAACTCCCACTCAAACTTCTGTTTACCGACTTCACTGGTCCTGTGCCACTCATGTCTGCATTGCTGACTTCTGGCAAGCTTTGCCTTTTTACTAAGGCAAGCCCCACCTCCTTGTTCACTAGCCTGCAGAGACTTCCTGCCAGGCCCATTTATTTACACAGGTTTATGTCTGAGGGGATCGACTTTGATGCCACTTTTTGTGGAATGAAAGAAGGGTTTTTAGACTTCAAAATATGGTTTAAATGATGTATGAAGACGTATTCAGAAAAAACACTTCTACCAAGACATTTATAGTAAAGTCTAGCTGCTGCTGTTCTAGTTTGGTCTAATGAATAACAATCTGGCTTGTATCACATTAGACCAGGGGTTGTCAACCAGGGGTACACATATTCTTGGGGGTACCTGGGAAGGTCCCAGGGGGTATGCGGCAGCAGCATGGAGAAGCGGGGGCACTTCCATTTTCACCAGCGGCATTCCTGGTTTTGCCACCAGTGCTCCAAGGTTTGCCATCGGTGGTTCTGGTCCCCTGCCCCACCACCCCCACTCATGAACTGGCCGCCGAGGGGGACCCCCCTCCCACCACCCATCGACCAGCCGGGGGACTCCCTGCTTCTCGACTGGCCACTGAGGGTACACCAACCAAAAAAGGTTGGGAAACCCCTGTGGTAGACCATTAAGGCTAAGTCAAAAAGCCCAAGGCTGAATCGATTCAGTCTTCGCAGGTTAGTCTAAACTGCAGAGATTAAACTGAGCATCCCTTGAATAGCTGCTGCTTCTGTCTCTCTCTCTCTTCCCAGCAGCTAAAATCAGCCCTGAAGAATAAACAAAAGTAAAAGTGGCCATTGCTATTTCTTTGTTGAGGAAAGAGGCTAACTTTAGCTTCTTTTTTCTTCTAAAAAAAGCAGAAGGTTGAGAGTAACAAAGGAGGTAAGCCAGCCAATTTCCCTTCCAGAGAAAGTCAGTAACAGTAATCATTTATGAATTATAACTCCATTTTACTTTCAGTGATTTTGACTATAGGATTGATCTGAATGTACATGGAGGTCTGAAAGAAATGAGATTTTAAAAGGGAAGAAAGCAGTACTTTAAGTGCCCGAACCTGTTTAAGGGCCACCTTAATTCCCACAGATATCATTCTAATATTATAAAAGCCTTAACCCGTCTGTCTTTCTGTAATGCTTTATTCATGCTCTGACTGGCTGACAAACAGCCAGAGTGCGAACAAGCATTAGAACAGGAGCTGGCGGCAGTGGAGCACCGCCATGATGGTGGGGACACAGGGGATGGACGGTCCACTCCGCCCTGCTCCCTGGAGGCGGGAGTAATGGAGCAGACATAACAGGGAGGCTGAGCTCACCCCCCCTGCCCTGCTCCCTGCAGGTGGCAACGATGGAGTGAAGGGGTGAAGGGGATGAGGCCACCAGAGCTGGCCTTGTCCGTGCTCTTACTCCTTGTAGGTGATGGCAATGGTGATGTGGGGGGGGAGTGGTGTCAGGATACCGCGGGGGGGGGTGCAAGACCACCAGTGCTAGCTTCAGCCCACCCCTCCCCACTTCTGTCATCACCGCCTGCAGGGCCCAACGTGGGATGATGTGGCGGCGGTGGGAGGAATAGTGGGCATGCTGCGGCAGCAGTAGTGTGGGGAGGGGAGGAGTGAGCCCAGGTCCGGGACTGACGCAGGGGGAAGGAGAACCAAGCCTGAGCTGAGGGAGAAGCCAGTTTACTGCAGCAGTTGGGGGGAGCAGTGGGCCCGGCCCAACATGGCAGCGGCTGGGGGAGGGGAGGAGGGGGCCCAGTCCCACTCCTCACCCACCCCCAACTCCCCTGCGTTGGCTCTGAGCCTGCTCCTCTCATCCCCTCACCGCTGCCGGGTCGGCCTGGGTCCGCTGCTCCCCCCACCGTGGCAGCCCAGCTTCTCCCCACCCTTGGGCCTGGTCCTCCCTTGCATCAAGTCAAGGTCCACTCCTCCACTCCCTCTGCCACTGTGGTGGGGAGCAGGCCCAGACCCCAAGCAGCAGGAGGTAAAAGGGGGAGTGGGCCCAGACAGGGGGCACATAGGGCTCTGTCTCCACACGCTCTTCCCCCTCACCCCCCATCATGTGATGGGTAATTGGCTAGTACCTCTATACTGACTCCATAAGGTTAGTGTGGAACGTGAAATTAACTTCTAAATTCAAACTGATGGTGCCATGCTTTGGGTAACAAAATGTGAAATACCTACACTGAAATGATCAACAAGCAATGAAGGCACAGATTTTAGGAAAAGCTAAGAAAACTCACTCTGTGATTGTGAAAAAATCCATAAGCTCAGATGTTGCAGCCCTGTTCCAATATGTAAACAAAACATCTAGGAAAATGAAGAAGTTAAAAAAATTAATAAATAAAAACAAGTATTTAACATATAGTAATACTGGTCAGTTGGTATGAGTTCTCAAAATTTTAGGTGACAAAGATTCAGACAGTCAGAAAATGGTGACAACCTGATGGTTATTTTTTTTTTTTTATATTGTTTAATATTTTCATAGATTCATACTTCATTTCCTTGAAGTTCCTTTGAAAATTGCAAAGATATTCTCCTGAATATTCTTGTGATGTTACTGAATGTATTATGGCATGAAATGGCAGAGGAATATTATATACTTATCAAGTTTAGAGAGACTGGCTTGTTGAAGAGTTTTAAGAAAAATAGGGGCACCTGTATACATCACAGGGTTTAATCCTCATTAAATTAAGTAGGTTTATAAAATTTAAAAACTTGCTTATTTTGGAGCATCGCATGAGAGTTTGCATGCACTTGGTGTTCAAACTAATTAAGCCTGGTGCCTGGCCAATGCTGCAGAAGAGCGGGACAGTCTCATGCTGCCCCCCTGGCCTGAGGCCCCCCATCCCGTGCCCTGCCACACAGCTGTATGAGCAGTGAGCCGACACATAGCACATGAAAAAAAAAGTGGAAGCAATTCAGAAGTGGCAGCAATTCAAAGGGGTGAGCTACAAAAAAGTCGCAGTGCCATCTGGTGAACAAAGAGGCTCATTACACATCTTTGAGTGCCTTTGCGTTTGCATGCAAAAAATCCATGGACATGGCACTTTAATTTGGGGTGAGACAAACTAAACTATGTCCAAGGGGTTTTAGTTTAATGCACCAGAAAGCCTTAAAGTGTCCAGAAAACCCACTTGTGCAGTCACACCATTGCAGCGCAAGGAAGGGCAAAAAACATGGCATGTACAAACGCCTTTGATGTTTGAACAATTATTGAAGCAACGCATACATATGTTTCATATGAAGTGCTCAAATACGAGGGATTCTGAACTGTGCATTCTGGAATATCATATACTTCAAAATGTAAATAAAATATTGAAAAAGATTTTTTTTGATTTTGCTTTGTTCCTCATAATGTATATAAAGTCATAATGATGTGGAGTGTAGCAAACTAAATAGCATTAATTGTGCGCATATGTGTAAAACAGACAAGTACACACAAGTGTCAGTGCACTCGCACATTTCTATTTTCATTCCTAAAAGCTGCCCAATACTGATAGAGACAATTCAGTCCATTAATTTATTTGGAAAAGTAATCATTTAATATGCATTGAAAACAATTACGCATTTAATTCAATCTAGTACAGAAAATTTAACTTCCACATTACAGGTCTTGGTATTCTCGGCTTGAGATAAAATTTTGGAAATCTACAGTCAAAGATGATGATAAACTGAGCTGTTGTCTACGAAATGTTGTGCACCTCTGTTGTATCCCTTACAGCTTTAAATATGGTAAATTATAAACTATACTTTAGTCAATTGTTATTCATTTGCTAATTTTATTAGTCAGTATTTTAATTATATGAATTAATGTGCAAATTCAGATTATCTTTGAAAGCCATTACGTTACTCAAATTCATGGCACCATATGAATAACCTTATTATATTTCATACTATAAGGCTATTTAAGGCTCGTGTCTTAAGAGAGTGTGCGTCCTCCAGTCAAATACATGAGTATATCACAATCTTTAATAGATTTGCTCTCACAATCATTGTACTTGTTTTATTATTTTAGATGATACAATTCACAGTAGCCCCATGAGGTAAGCAAGCACTATAACCCCTGTTTTGCAGACCAGAAATGAGACAATAAATGATTGGCCCAAGGTCAACAAGATGCCTGGTATAGGAGAGACCTCAGCTCGGGGCTCATGTAGTCGTATTTAATGTTTTAAACTGGGGTTTGATTTCATTGCTCAAATATGTTAAGCAGCTATGTAAAATGTAGTCTTACATATAAATAGCTGCATATAAGAGGTTTTACATAATATCACAACTATTATCGACAGCATTCTTTAAGCTATTTTTAAGTTATATTTATAAATCACTTATAAATTAACAAAATGAAGTAGAATTTACCTACCATCCGACATGCTTCTTAAAATGTGAAGGAAACACATGAGCAGACTTTTGATCTCTGCTTGATCAAGTTTGTCACAGCGAATTAAAGAACTTCCTAAAGTGCCACTCTGTTGGTTCTAAGAATAAATAGGAGTAAATATGGGTTAAATTATCTGCTAAACTGATAAAAGCTAGTAATTTGGATGATCTTAGCTCCTGTGGAAAAATAAAGTCATCTCAGACTGGACAGAAGATCAAAATGCAAATACAGCAATGGGTTACTAAAGCATACAACTATGCACAAAATACATCAAACTGAAACTTTCTTTAGTTTTATTTTCTGAATGCATTTTTCCCTTCATGGGTAAAAGATTACTTGCCAGTAACTGTTATTCAAAATAATTACACAGAGGAAGCCACACTTATAGGAACTTTAGTGCCAAGTTAAAGTTCTCTAAAAGAACACAAGTAGTGCCGTATTACGTCAGATCAATGGTACACGTAGACCAGTATTCTATGTCCGACAGTGGCAGGAATTGATGATCACGAGGGAAAGCATATGAACAGGGTTTATCTGGAGTAGTGTATCCCTTGTTATGCCCCTCTGGCATCCACCATCATTGGTTTAGAGATACATTCCTAGTCTGTTTAGTAACTATTAATGGATCTAGCATCAATGAATTTGTATAGTCCTTTTTTGGGAAAACAAAACCAGGAATCGAGACTGTAGACAGATAAATCCATGCTCACACCTGTGGATTCTATTTTTCAACCGAGGCAACATGGAGCTCTGACTCCACAGAATTTTCTCTCTTTTTAAAGTCATAAATGAGAACTCCAAAGAACATGCAATGTTTGTGGGAAGCTTGCTTCAATACAATCATTCTTGGAGAACCTATTCCTGTCTTTATAGTTTCCCATAAATATAGGAGCTAACTAACAGCGATAAATGTTGACTAAATACTACCCAAACACTAGAACAACTCGGCATATCTGTGAAAAGAGCGTTTCTTGCATTTCTTAGACCAAGTGGAAAAATATAGTAAAGCCAAAGCATAACACACACACATTTGGTTTTACCTATTGTGAGTAGAGATGGCCTTCCTTCATTTGTGTGCCATTAGAAAAAATATAAAGATACTTGCAAGTAAATTTGCAAGAATACCTCCTAAAAGATCGAGGTAGAGAACAGCTTTATCAGTTGGAATTCTTGAACACCACACACATTTGTATTATACCACTGCTCCACAGTCTGCATGGATTCTCCGTAGGTTTTTGGTAAAGTTTAAGGGATTGTATCTGACCTGGATTTGGGACCAACCTGAGGGACTTCTGCAGCGTGTTTCTGCACCTGTGACCTCTGCACCTGCCAGAGTTAATCTGTAACAGTGCTCAGCCTCCTTGATATAGACAAGAGAAAGCTACTGACAGGGCATTCTTATTATAACAATAAACATAGCTGTGGCATTTACCAAACCCTTTTACATGAGATACCAAAGTCAACGATCTCCAGGATATGGCAATGCTCATCTTGCTTACCTGTTGTCTGAATGTTGGGAGGGATAGCATGGATGGGAAATTTTTAAGGAATCATATTTTAATTTTCCCATCTTATTGGTCATGTATTAAATAGTGTTGTTGTGCTTAGAATGCAGAGTAGTGATTTACTGGTAACTAGAATTTTTTGAAAGATACTGTCCACATATGCATTCTCACCATGTGTATACTCATGCCCTGAGACTTTTTGCCTTAGCAATAACCAGACCACCACAGCTCTGTACTACCTCATGATCCCATACTGAAGTGAATACAGGCAGTGCTAACTTCCCACCCCTCAGTTTCCTTTCAACTGCAAAGATCATATTATGCATGTGACTGAGGAAGAGGGAAAGGAGGGTAGAGTTTGAATGTGTATGTGGACAACACTTTTTGAAGAAAGCTGGTTACTGGCAAGTAACTTTTTTCTCCTTTGAGAAACTGTTTACTTACACACTCCTTCCCATTGTGAACTAGTATAGTATATCTGGAGGTGGGGCTCAGTGAACAGTGACTGTAGGACTGCTTCACCAAATGTAGAATCCACCCTGGAGACCCGTACAGTCACGTAGCTCTTGGTAAAAGCACATACTCAGCTCCATGTAACTGTTCTGCAGATATCACTTATGGAGACAATGGCTGTGTCTACATGAGATGCTGACTGCACAATCATTATTGTACAGTCATTTAGTACTTGCTTATACAAGTACTAAAATGACTACGCAGTAACCCAAGTTACTGCACAACAGTACTGAAGAATGCTTTTTTGAGATGCTACTGCACAATAGCCTAATACTACTGTGCAGTAGTGTCACATTATGTTTTTTGCCATGTGATGCTACTGCACAGTAGTATCAGGCTACTGTGCAGTCAGCGTCTCATGTAGACATGGCCACTGAGTAGTCACCAGACCCAAGTTACAGTAAAATGGGTCCAAATCACAGAGGGGGAGTCTACACTGGAGATCTCGTATTACAGTTTGTAACAGCCTGCTAATCCACATGGACAGCCTCTGGATTGATGCAACTAATGTGAAGGACAACTCCAGAAAACCTTGATCTGCATGACCGCATTGCCATAGAGGGACCGACTCTCTTTGTGAAAAAAATAAAAGTGAAAAATAAAATAAAAGGCTTGCTACTCTTCATGAAGAAGGGAAGAGACACTACGAAATTTAATTTCCAAAAAGCAGTGACTCGTATTGGAGCAAAAGCATATAGAGGGACAATTAAAAGAAAACAAGTCAAAGGCAAACCCAGACCAAAGCTCCAACCAAAGGCAAAGACCTCTCCTCCTTCATAATAAAAATGGATGAAGGAAAAAGAAACATTAAGAAATATTAAGAAACTTAATATTTAAGCAACAGGTAAGAAGAAGAGGAAATAAAAAGCAGTAGAAGCCAGAAAAGACTGAGTTGCAATATAGGCCACAAGAGCTATCAAACAGGAAATTCTCCATCTTCTACCAGGCAGCTGAGAAAAACTGAGGAGCAGGAAGAGGCTAGCACACAGGTGAAAAGAAGCATGAAGGACATGGATATGATGCACTCCACAGTTACTGCTAAGACAAAAATCTCCAGTTGAAGGCTCTACTCACAGTGTAAATGTGTATGCAAAGTGGTGTTGGTTTGGGACTGAACATGTAACCTGAGTCCCAGATTAGTCATTCAACAGTTAGGGAGTAAAAATGAATGCAGAATGAGATTTAATCCTAACTAGAAGGTACTGTAAAGCAGGGGGCAGCAACATCTACTTACATGCCATTGGCTTCAAGATTTTCACAATCATTACTGTACACTGTATTTCTCCTGACAGTACTCCTGTCAGGTAGGGAACTACTTTCCCCAACATTTTACAGAGGAGGAACTGAGGCACAGAAAGACTAAACTTATATGACTGATATATTAGGGAACTAAACCTGGTTCTCAGGCTAATGCCCTAGCCATGGAACCATCTTTCCTCTCCCTACTGTCTCTGAAGCAGTTTAAAGAAACTTAGATGAATCCCACAATCAGGGTTCTTTAAACATTTTCATGCATAATAAAAAAATTACTATCACTCTTTATTAATAAAATCCTTAAAACAATTAGGGAAAAAAATCTGTATGTTGTATAACTGATCTTTTCAAAGTTAGGTGAGTAGATAACTGAAAGGATTAGATATTACTCTGGGAAAACATTAACAGCATGCAGAAAGCAAAAATTTAAGCTGGAAGTCTAGGCTGGGATTTTCAAAGAGGCCAAAAGACTTAGGTTTATATTTCATTGAACATTCAAATTAAATCACCAAATTCTTAGATTCCTTTGAAAATTCCAGTTATATGTTTATCTGCTAGCAAAACTCTGCAAATTAAAACATGAAAACTATATAGTGGTCAACAGTTTTGCCAGTTAGCAACAGCACAGCCATTTGGAATGTTTTCAGTAAAAGAATTTTCTGTGCCCAAAATACTGAATAGTCCTATTTTATTTGAAAGAGTCTAAACCCACCATCCTATTAACATTTGTGTCTATACTTAAAGTGAAGCAAGTAGTCCTATTAATTTTACTGAATCCATTTGTTTAAAATTAAGTATGTGCAAATGCATCTTCAGGACTGGGCTTGTGTGACATTCTGGATATAAACTGCTGCTAAGATGTGGCAAAACTCTAGTCAACATGCATTTCACTCAGCCGCTTAATTATGCCAAACACACAAAATAAATCCCATATACTTCTTGTAACTGAAGACAGAGAGCAGCATGCAAAACTTTCTCTGGCAAAGCTGGGATTGTTAGAAGTGAAAAGTCCACAGTAATGCGTTTTTTCTTTGTTGAGTGGAAATTTTCTTCTTCCTCTCCACTAGTGCACATAGCATGAGCAGAATGCCTTCTGAGCAGTGTCTCTCTCTGTTACATGAAGGCATGGCAGGGTCAGGGGAAAAAGTTAAAAAGCGTGATATGTGCAACAAGGTCTAAGAAAATTAAGTGCTAACAATATAAGCTTTAAAAAGACATAACTCAACAGTTACTGCAGCCAAAGCACCTAAGTTTGTAACAGGTTTAAAATAAAAATAATTTAAAATACTTGACTCAATCTAAGAATGTTCCTTGCAGGGACAAGGCAAGGGAGCTGGGGAGGGGAGGGGAGGGAAGGAAGGATGGAAGAGGACACATTAGTTTGTTTCTAGCGTTTAGTAAGAATGGTGCACTAATTACTTAGACTAACTAGCCTTAAGAGTACAGTACTCGCTGAACGGGAAAGGCACTTGTACTTTTACATAGATAGGTTTGCACTTTTGAGAACCTAATCTTTAAATATTTGTTTTCCTGAACATAAAACTTAATATTTTTAGTGCTCTTATCTAGCAAAGCATAAAAAAACTACTCTCTAATAATCTCACTAACTTAAGGAAACCTGTTTATGTAATATGAAAAATATTCTGATATATGCAGTGGCAAAACAAGTCCATATGATAATTATTACAACAAAAAGTTTATATCCAATACTACCAAGTAAATAACAAGATATTTCACACGTGCTTTCTTTTAATGAAACACTCAGAGCCTGACTACACTCTAGAAGAATTATTAAAAAGACTCCCAGTATCTCCAATGGGAATGAAACCAAACTTCTAATAAATAATGGATAGTTTTCTAGTGATAATGAACTATATATTTTAACATAAAAAGAATTATACACAAGATTTTCTTTTTTACCTTGTCAAGAGAATTACTCTTGTCACTATGCCTTTCTGGGAGACTGTTTCCTGAATCTGTACTTATAAGAGAGCCTCTGGAGTCAGCATTTCTTACACAGTTGATATTTGGAGTTGAAGAGGTATACGGGGAAGCTAAATAAAATGAAAAAGAGTCTTCATATATAAGCTTACTCATAGAAATTTATATTCTCAAAGTAAATGCAATTTTTAGAAGAGCCAAATCTTATTCCTTTCAATATATTTGATAAGGCTTTAACAATTAATAATGATATCAATTCAACATCACAAGCATTTCACCATCATGTTAGGATGGTTTTAAATAGCATCCAGAAAGATTCACAGTAAACCATTCACAGTGAAGTAATTTCTCCCATTTAACTTGTTACTGAAACAGAAGAGCTGTTTAACAATAAAACAACAAAATAATTTAATGTAGAACTGAGGAAACCTATATCCAGTTGCAGGAGGACTTGAGGTAAATAACAAGTATTTTTTCCAACCGGAATGTTGATACGACATACATTAATGCTGACTACTTCATTTCCTTTTATTTCCTTAATAAAAAGAGACAGTACTATTGGTTGCTAAAGAAAGAAGTGATTTACTCATTAAGGGTAATACCATTTTTCAAGCAATAACAGCCTCGAAAGATGTATACTCTGCTTAGGAAAAAACCTGTTACTTGAGTCCACATTCTAAAACTGACTGGGGGGGTGAGAAAAACAGCTAAGACCTAAGGACAAAGCAAGCAAGTGGCAATTTAACAAAATGACTTTCCAACATTATCACCAGAAGTGTGAATGTTGGCATGCCCATCCCCAAGAAAGAACAAGAAATAACATAAAAATTGCATAAAAAGAACAGGTAAGCACTAGTTATTTTGATACCAGTAGGTCTAAAAGATCCTTTTAGAGATGGATCTTATTGCATCTCTAAAATGGCTAAATTTTTCCTGCCAGTAGGTGAAAAACTATGCTTCTTGCTTCAAGCATGCTATTATGTTGCACCCAGGGAAATACTGTTTATTCTTCCATTATCTTCATGGGCAGTTTATGTGGGCCTCTTCTTCCCCCTTTCTCAAAACCTAATCTTATTCCATCTTGTGGAAACAACATTATGTGAGGTTCTAGCTCAAGCCCATTTGAATCAGTGCATCTAAATGACAAACAGCATACAAGAGCCCAAAGGTGAGGGCATTTTTCCATCTCTCCTGCTGAAGTCAGGTTGTTTCTTTTCCTCCAGTGACTTGTATTTCTTTCTATCCAGTGACCCAGCATCAACAAGGAAGATGAAGGATGCTCCCCACTTTACCTAGCCCCAAACCGGCTCATTAGCATGCTACTGGAAGGTTCAAATCCCCTCCACATGGCAGAGGCATAGAACCCAGGTTTTCCCTTTCTGGAGTTGTGCCCCAACCAAAAGATGACTGGGCAAAATATGGGTGGGTGACTTCCTCCCCACTAAAGTCAAACAGTCAATTTTTCCTCTACTTAAAGAATCAGAGATTATCACGTGAAGTGCCAAAAGCTTACAAGCAGAACAGCCCTAAATCTATTTAAGGCAGAACTCTCTTCTCCACAGCTACTGAAGGAGTTTTGTGGGCCACTGGTTCTCAGACCTACTGGATGGCTCATGAATTATTTGGGATGTTGCTACCTGTAAGAGTGTATCTACACTGCTGCAGCTAAAACAGACATATCTAGATCAGTAACCAGTTCAGGCGTTACTAGGAGGGACAGCACAGAGTTTAGTGCAGGCTAATGGCCTAGGTATTTATTCAGCTTCTTGGGTGCAACAACAATATAGCTACACCCAAGTTTAGAATTAAACATGAGGTGGTCAAAGCCAAAGATATCTCTGAACAAACTTCAATAAAATGATTTAATTGATCCAGTAGAAATGGGGACATGAATCTATATTATGAAAAGCTTTGAACATTCTGGTCAGTAGAGAGAAAGATCTTTGGATGAAACTCAATAAATTTGCCTGACAATGTTAGAAAGTAAAGAACACGATGTTCAGCTATTTGCTTTTTGTATAGATTTCTGAATCCAAAGTATGAGCATAACAGTGAAATATGAATATTAAAAGTTTAGCTTCTCTGAACTAAGGAAGAAGGAAAACAGTCCGTCATTAATTGATCTCTCAAGAATAAGCAAACAGCTGTTTCAGTCTAAGCTGGAAAAATGTCAAGCAACTTGTTAACTAATATTTTAACTAATAGGATGCAAAAAACAACTCTGTCTTAATTGCAGATAAAGGCAGCCACATTTACTTGAGGGCTAGCCACAACCAGCTACCATTTTTAAATACAATTTGTCCCTATCCACGTTAGGTACCAAGTTGAGTTGTACCACAATACCCCGAAATGGAGTGTAAACTTGACCTCTCACATGGCAGTTCTGAGAGAGAAACTTCATGGGGTTTATCAGTTATTTCTGAGGATCTGGAAAAACTCCTCTGTTCACTCTTTATATCAAAGTTTGTGGATCTGAACTCAATTGTATTGATTTATCTCTCGTTAGACTGCCAAATCTTTATGACACCTATTCTGGAGGACTCGATTACAATACTTCTGAGATTTTTTTTATTAATGTTAGCTTTGTTATCATATCATTTGTACACATCAGAACACAAATATGTTTTGGTTCATTCTCCCCAAAGAGCTGAAGTTTTAGGTGTTCTGCTGATGATATTGTGAGCATATTTTTATTTATTAAATAACTACAAGGACTCACTGAAGTTTTCTAAAAGGGAAGCAAGTACATACAAACTAATTACTAAAACAGGACTGAAGGGCAACACTACCACCATTTAGCTTTCATCTACTGAGGATGGCTAAGTAAATAGCAGCTGATATGCAGCAAATGCCTATCCCATTTTACCTTGCAATAACAAATTTAGGTGGATGACTTGGCATCTGACTTAGCTCAAGTTCTTTTCTTATTTTGCATCAGATTACTAGTTTCATTTCTAATTTGTTCTTTTTCCAATTAGATTTTATTTGTTCAAGCAAAACAGTCACATGCAGGGAGATAGTTGTACTGCTTGAGAAAATGCTGAGCAACTTAGAAAAAGAGATTCTGCCCAGTTTCAGAGCTAGTAAGTTGAAATCCCTATTACTATGCAGCTACCATCAACAGCAATCCTTTGGATAATCTCTTATAAGCTGAGGTATTCTTTTGCCCAACCATGATTACCCCCAACTCTTTTTTTGCAATGCAATAGAAACAAAATGTGTGGGGGAAAGTCAATAAAGACTTTCACCAAGTTCAAAGTTTATCTTTCATAACAAGATCTACATGCCTTCACAACTTTCTTTTTAATATCACAACATTTCTTTTTAATACAGGAAAACAAAATGAAACTAGCAAGGACTTAAAAATGTATTACCAATGCCAGAAATAACACCAAACAGATCTTTGTGAAGGCTGTTATCCAATGTGTTTCCTGATTTTTGTGGTGTTACTACAGGATTTGCAGTAGGCAAACTGAGTGATTCATCTTTTGCGCTCTAAGAAAGAAAAACACACCTAAGTGACTATCATCTGCATAGCCTAATATTTAGAATTTCTATATAACAAAAACTATATTAATACAAGCAGAGGTGAGATATCTGACATTTTCATCGACCAGGGATGGCCTCAATTTTGTGTGTCACAGAGAAGTGAAATAAGACTGTAATATTATTGGTTCATAAATTCTAACATAGAAAAATATTTACTGCAACATTTCCTAGATAATTTTAGTAGCAAAATTATATATTCAAACTCACCTTATATTTGTTTAAATCATCCAGAAATTCTTTCTAGCAGAAACACTGCATAAATATTTCTCTTTGTTGTGTGACCTGATAATAGAAACTTTGCAACATTGGACTCAAACAGATATGCTGGATCATTGAATCTGGTGCTCTGGCGTCAAAGACATGCACTTTGCAAAATGCTGTTTGCAAAGTTATAGAGCTCCATCTTAAAACTGATTATTTTCCCCCATTACTTCTACTGAGCTGTCGTCTTCCTCTGATGGTTTGAAACCTTACCTTAGCATATAGCCCAAATTTATTTATGGCTAATTTATATGCATTTATTCTGTTGTTTAACTGAATTAGATAAAAGCTTTAAAAGGCCTTCAATATATGATCTATTTTGCTGAGTACCAACAACTACCACCTTTTTCTTTATTTCAACATCAAAAACTGCTGTTCCTCTGTTATTTAAGTATACACTTAATATTATGCAGGAGAATTCTCACTAACTTTCTGCATCTTAACTACAACTGTTAGCAGGGTCAGGGTCTACAATAAAAAGTATAATCCCTGAATAAAAAGTAAAGTTATTAAAATTTTAAATAGCATCTAGCTATTTAAAAAGTGTGCATTAACAAAGACTGCATTACAATTCAGATAAATAAGAAGGCCAATCAAGAACAACCTTCAGTCATTCAATCATTTCTATTTTTGATGGTTAGACTTTAATGTTGTTTCATAGAATCAATGAGTCAGAAGGGACCTAGACCGATCATCTAGTTCAACCCCCTGCCATGGGCAGGAAGGAGCACTGGGTGTGGCAGGGGTCATAAGACCCCAGCCAGGTGCCTATCCAGTCTCCTCTTGAAGATCTCCAGGGAAGGTGAGAGCACCACCTCTCTGGGAAGCCTATTCCAGGCTCTGGCCACCCTGACAGTGAAGTAGTTCTTCCTAATATCTAACCTAAACCTA